GAAGCTTATTGCATCCAAACCCGTGAATCTGATATGGGATCTTGGGCATCAGCCTGGCTTCGTGTGGTGTCCTAGCCATCAGGTATATATAGATAGGGGTTGAGGGTTTGTTGTGTGTGTAGGGGAGGGTAGGGGGATATTTGAGGGGGTTGTGTGGGTGTGTGTGGGGTGAGTCTCAGGGTTGTTTTGTGTGTAGGGGGGATATATTTGGGTGGTGTTGGTGATGGGTGTTGGGGGGGGGGGGGTGAGTCTCTGTGTTTTGTAGGAGGATTGTTTTTTTTTGGGGGGGGGGGGGAAGGGGGGTTGTGCGTGTGTGTGTGTGTTTGGTGGGGGGTTGGTTGTGTGTGTGTGTATTAGCTGGGTTGTGTGTGTGTGTTGTGTGTGTTGGGGAGGGGGGTTGTGTGTGTGTGTGAGTTGGAAAGGGTTGTGTGTGTATGTGTGTGTGGAGGAGTTACGGTAGAGGGAAAGAGTCACAGATTCACAATATATTATACATAGTTCTTGTTAATATATTGGTCTTTGTATTTACATCCGTATTATGTGCGTATGTCCGTGTTCTGTATTGCGCATGTTTGTGCTCAAAGTAGATAAGTAAAATCTACCGACTCATATCGCTATCTATCTACTTACCTCCTACCTACCTACCTGTCTATTTATCTATCTTTTTTATCCCCTCACCCAGCCACCCTTTCCCTTCATCCATTCATCTATAGTTGACCCCTCCCTCCCTCCCTCTCTCTCTCTCTCTCTCTCTCTCTCTCTCTCTCTCTCTCTCTTTCCTCTCTCTCTCTCTTCTCTCGTCCTCCTCTCTCTCTCTCTCTCTCTCTCTCTCCACACACACGCATACAAAATTATAGAAATAATGAATAAAATGAAAGAATAACAATAATAAATAAATAGATAATAGAAGTAATGATAATAAAAATAATAAAATATAAGGAAAAGAAAAAAGGCGCTATCCGATCATATACCTGAAAAAAATATCGAAATAATTCCCGTTAGGTCACTGTGCCTAGCGGTATCCTGCATAGTTTCCAGTTAGTCTTTTCTTCTTATTTTCTCCAAATACAACGCTACCAAATTCCTAACGTGACTTTCTAATGAATGAATCACGCCCTAGAAATTATAATGTAAAACTACTATAGGAAAATACAGTTTTTTATTCATTATTTATCTTGGAAATTAGGTTTAATAGCTTCACAAGAAAAGGTTATTAAGTACGTGACTATAATATGTTACCAACTTCTACTAAAACGTATTTTTGAATACACGAATAACATCGTTTTTTTATCATGTTTTAACCAAGTTTGTGAGTGGCATTAGGATTGATTTTGCAGTTATTTATTGTTATTTTCGATGATATTTGTTTTGGATTGATTTGTTATTGTTTTTTTTATTACGAATTCTTTCTTTATTATAAAATATTATAGAATGTCTCTCTTTGAGTTGGAGGAAAGTTAATAATATTTTTCTATTATCATTTTGATGGAATTTTTTTAGCATATTGATTGCAGAAAAGTATATAGTAGTAAAATGAAGAGAAGAGAGAGAGGGGGGGAGGGAGAGAGAGAGAGAGACAGAGGGAAGAGAGAGAGAGGGGGAGAGAAAGAGAACAAAAGAGAGAGAGAGAGAGAAATAAGAAAGAAGAGAGAGAGAGGAAATAGAAAGAAGAAATAGAAGAAAAAATAGAAAGAAAGAAAGAAAGAGAAAGAAAAAAAGAAAAGAAAGAAAGAAAGAAGACCCAAAAATCTAGAAATAATAAAAAAGAAAAGATAAAAAAAAACACACGAGAACTTGACCAATCTAAAACCGCCCCTTTTTCCCACCCACAGACCACCTCGTCGTCTTCCCTCCTGAAGTCCCTACGCCCACCCCGAGGCAACGAGGATCAGGCCGAAGACATGGGCGGAGGCAGGGCGTGGGGCGGTGCGAGGGCGTGGGCGGTGGCGGGATCAGGCCGAAACATGGGCGGGGCGGCGGCGAGGGCGGGTGGGCGGTGGCGAGGGCGTGAGCGGCGGCGAGGGCGTGAGGAGTCGCACCAAGGTAAGGGAACCAGGTATTTAAAAAAAAAATCACACAAGCATAGGCATAAGCATACAGGAATTGGTACATAGACGGTTAATGTGGTTAATATATATCTATCAGATATATAGATATGCCTTTATTTTTGTATCTGTATTTTATGAAATTGAATGTATGTCATCAGATATATAGACAGATATGCCTTATTTATGTAAATTCATCGGATCAATTTTAACAAACCAATTTTTAACAAACAGGCCTGATTAAAAGCTGTTAATATAAGTAATAATAATGATAATTATCTATAATAATGATTAAAAAAAGGTAATGATAATTAATTAATTATTTACTAATAATGATTTAAAAAAAGGTAATAATGATATTAAAATGACCTTTCTTGACCCAAACAGAGGAAGACGAAAACGACCCAGTCTCTTCAGCGCGTACCCTCCTCCAGATAACCAGGACGACCTCAACCGCGCCTTCAGGAGCGCTGTTCGAGTCATTAGCGTCAGGCATCCCTTCGCCAGGTGGGTCCTTGGGCGCTTGTAGTTTGCTTTTTTTTTTTTTTTTTTTTTTTTTTTTTTTTTTTTTTTTGAGGGGGGGATGGGTAGTCCTTTGGTGTTGGGGGGGGTCTTAATATTTTTTTTTTTTGTTGGTTTGGGTGTCTGTGTTTTGGTGTGTGTGTGTGTGTTGTTTGTGTGTGTGTGTGGTATGGTGTGTTTGTTATGTGTGTTGGTGTGTGCTTGCGGTGCGATTTTGTGCATGGTGATGTCTGCATATCCGTATGTATATAGTAGATAAGATAAGATAGGATAGATATAGAGATATATTCTAACAATCTCCACAGCACACCCTCACACAATCACACCCCCCCCATCCAACCCCCCCCAGTCACACATGACGCAACCACCCCCCACACACATAAATCCCCCCACAGTCACACACCCCACACTCACTTCCTTCCCCTTCCCCCCACCCCGTTACCCATACTCACACACGCCCTCACCCACCCACACACACAACACCCTCCATAGTCACACCTACCCCCCGCCCACCCACCCACCCCCTCCTCCACAACCACAACCAACCCCCCCTCCTCCCCCCCAACTCACCCCCACCCCTTTTTCCAACCCCCCTACCCACGCCCCCTCTCTCCCACAACCCACCTCCCTCCCCCCACCCTTTTTCCAACCCCCCCTACCCCACCCCCTCTCCCCACAACCAACCCACCCTCCCCCCCCAACTCACCCCACCCCGTTTTTCCAACCCCCCTACCCACCCCCCTCCTCCACAACCAACCCACCTCCTCCACAACCAACCCACCTCCTTCCCCCCCCAACTCACCCCCACCCCTTTTTCCAACCCCCTACCCACCCCTCCTCCCCCCCACCCCCTTTTTTCCAATCCCCTACCCACCCCTCCTCCACAACCAACCCCCCTCCCCCCTCCTCCCCCCCAAACTCACCCCCACCCCCTTTTACCAACCCCCCTAAACCCCTCACCTCCTCCCCCCCAACTCACCCCACCCCATTTTTCCAACCCCCTCCCCCCCAACTCACCCACCCCACCCTCCCCTCCTCCTCCCCCCACCCCAAACTCACCCCACCCCCCTCTTTTTTCCCCCCAGCCTGCTCTCCCTCTACCGGGACAAGATCAGCAAACTGAACCTGAAGCCCAACAAGGTCCGCTTCAGGGAGCTTCAGACGCGGATCATCCTATGGTATCGACCCGCCAACAGTACTGAATCCTCTCCTTTTCCTACCTTCGAGGAGTTCGTGAAGTATGTCGTGGATCTGACGAAGGACCTCAAGACGGCGGACGACTGGGAGGGCACGGTGAGGGACCTCCTTCTCTGAATGTCTGTCTGCGTGTCTACTTTCTTTCTTTTTCTTCTTTATTGTCTATCTTTTTTTTTTTTCCCTTCTGCTTTATTTGCTCGGTTTTTATTTATTTATTTATTTATTTATTTTTTTAATTTTTTTTTTTTAAATATATGCATTATATATGTGTGTATATAGTATATATACATATAATATATATATATATATATATAATATATATATATTATATATATATATATTAACACACACATACATATACATATTTATACGTATACTTATGTATCTGCGTGTGTGTCTCTTCTATATATATGTGTGTGTGTGCGTGTGGTGTACATAGACGCCCACGTACACCCTCCCCTGATCCAAGCCCAAAATCCCCAGGACCAGTCCCTGGCGCCGCTGTGGGTGCAGTGCAACGTGTGCGGCAGCGACTACAACCTCGTCCTCAAGATGGAGACCCTGGCCGAGGACGAGCGCTTCCTCGCCCTCCTGGCCGGTTACGATGAGTTCAAGGAGGAGGTGAGTGCTTGTGGGGGATCAGTTCTTCGGTGTTACTTCAAACTTGGAGGAAGGGAGGGAGGGAGGGAGAGGAGGAGAGAGAGAGAGAGAGAGGAGGAGGGAGGGAGAGAGAGAGAGGAGGGAGAGGAGGGAGGGAGGAGGGAGGGTGGGGAGGGAGAGAGAGAGGAAGAGAGGAGAGAGAGAGAGAGAGAGAGACGAGAGAGAGAGAGAGAGAGAGAGAGAGAGAGAGAGAGAGAGAGAGAGGGAGGGAGAAAGGCAGAGAGAGGGAGAGAAAAAAGGGAGGAGGGATGGAGAAAGAGAGAGAGACAAAGGGGAGTGAAGGACACGGAGACAGACAGACGGACAAATAAACATACAGAGATAGAGAAAGGGAAAACTTCCACTCAGCCGTGGAAGTTTTCGGTCTTTGTCTCTAATCTTATTTTTTATTCAGAAACTGCTGGTTCCTTTTTACGATTTTGAGTTGTAGATATGGAGAGTTGTAGGAGTTGTGACGTAGAACCGAATCATCTAATCATCATTTAAGATATTCAGTTATGATAATGATAGTAATAATAGTGATAATGATAATAGTAATAATGGTAATAATAATCGTATTACTATTGTTATCATTAA